TGAAATTTCCAAATCCTGTTTGAAATTTCCAAATCCTGTTTGAAATTAAAAAACAATCCCATAGGTAGGGCAAAAACCTAGAAATTTTGCATCGTTTCCACTCTGTGTTGACTTGATAAGTAAGATGGTAAGCCTCACTGCTGATAGTTGATGACTGTGCTGCTTATTGCAATATAAGTTTAGGTGAGGAATGCATTTGAACCATCTTAGCTTGTGCATCTATTAGTTTTGCAGAGAAGATTAAGATGAAATTTGATGGATGACTGGTGGGATGTTAACCAGGTAATGCAGATTTAATATAACGGGCTTAAGAAAAGTAGGAGTGAAATATGGAGGTGTTATCTGCATTGAGTTATGATCTGGAATATGCTGCCTGAAAGGCTGGTAGGAGCAGAATCATTGATCTCTTTCCAAAGAGAAGTGGTAAGTAGAATCCATACAGTGTGGAAGTAGGCCATTCAGTCCATCAACCCCTACCCTAACCCTGTAAGCCTGCATTTCCTGTGGCTAATCCACCTAGCCTGCACATCCCTTGACACTATGGCGCAACTTAGCATGGCCAATCCACCTAACCTGCACATCTTTGGACTGTGGGAGGAAACCGGAGCAGACTCTGGGAGAAAGCACAAACCCCACCCAGACAGCTGCCCAAGTGTCAAATCAAACCAGGTTCCTGGGACTGTGAGGCAACAGTACTAACAGCTGAGCCACTGTGCTACCTGGAAAGCACTGGAAAAGGAAAACCATTTGTCAGGCTAATCACGAAAGAGCAATAGACTGGAGCTTGTCGGGTATCACTTTCAAAGAGTGAATAAGGTCATGATGGAACAAATAGCTTCCTTCTGTGCTGTATAATTCAATACTTTAGTTGAGATGGAATCTTCTATTACTATGACATGTTCTTCTTTCTAAATGTATCTTTTTAGATTCCAAGTAACGTACAGGAGCTGTTCAAGGATGAGAGATGCACCAACATCAATGCACAGGTTTGAAGTAAAGACAAAACAAACCCTTTTTAATGAAAATATTTGAACATTTAATCTGAAGAAGAGAATGTTCTATGTTACGCATTTATCCCTGGGTCTCGCCCAGTGGATCGGTTTTGGTTTAACAAGTGTTGAGCTATTGGCCAAGACAGTGTTGAGATCCGTTGACTAATAATTGGGGAGCATATCCATCAGATTAGAGTAGATAATGATCTGAAATTTGGTATTTCCCTTTGATTTGTGACCCCTTCTTTCTAAGACTTGTAACTCACTCAACCACTTTCTTAAAGAGTAAGCTGAATTAGTTGGTGTCAGTTGTCTTTTGGTAGCTGGCTACTATCTACTGTTATTTCAGAAAAGAATTTGCGTTACTTCCTGATGCAGAATGCTCAATGCCTTCAATTTTGTCTACAACGTGTTTTACACTTCACAACATTGCACCAGAATAGGACTGCTGTAATAGTGATTCACTGGATAGGAGGAGTTGAAAAACACTGAATTGTTTAAACATGTCAGTTTGAATGGAAATTGTTCTTGGAATCTCTGTGCTTGCCTAAAACTGCAATGATAGCTACGGATGTGAGGCCTTGCTAATGGTTGCGTGTGTGAGGCCATACCTGACGTGATTGTTATGTTTATTGTTCACAGAGTCCTCCATTTTGGATCCTAACCCGAGCTGTGAAGCAATTTGTGGAAAAAGAAGGACTAGGAAACTTGCCAGTACGTGGCACCATCCCAGATATGATTGCAGACTCAACTAAGTTTATTAGACTACAGAACGTGTATGTAACCAAAATATTTTAACCAATGTATTTGCCTTTTCCACAGTCTGGTGTATTTGAGTGCCACCGATCATCTCGGCTGTTCTCAGAAGTGAGATAACAAGGTGTAGAGCTGGATGAACACAGCAGGCCAAGCAGCGTCATTGGAGCAGGAAAGCTGACGTTTCAGGCCTAGACCCTTCTCCAGAAATGGGGGAGGGGAAGGGGGTTCTGAAATAAATAGGGAGAGAGAGGGAGGCGGATAGAAGATGGATAGAGGAGAAGATAGGTGGAGAGGAGACAGACAGGTCAAAGAGGCGGGGATGGAGCCAGTAAAGGTGAGTGTAGGTGGGGAGGAGATAGGTCAGTCCATTTTTCAGAAAGGGGGGTCTAGGCCTGAAACGCCAGCCTTCCTGCTCCTATGATGCTGCTTGGCCTGCTGTGTTCATCTAGCTCTACACCTTGTTATTTCAGATTCTCCAGCATCTGCAGGTCCTACTATCTCTGTTCTCAGAAGTGTCCTTTATGTCCTGACGTAAAGCTTTTATTTTTCCTAATGACCTGCCTGCCTCTGCAGAGGTCTGTCCTGACAAGTAAAGGTCATTCTGCTGCTTACTGGGTTTTAAGTGTCAGACTTTTTACTGTCTCCTGAGTCAGTAGCTCATTTGGTCTAAAGTCACTCCAAACACGTGAGCACCGTATGTGCGCTAATGCTCATAACACAGTGCTGAGGGAGTACTGCACTGTCAGGGGGTCAGTGCCGCACTGTCGGGGGCGGGACGGTCAGTGCCGGGGCAGTGCCGCACTGTCGGGGGCGGGACGGTCAGTGCCGCACTGTCGGGGGCGCCATATTTTTGGCTGAGACTTGCCTTCTCTGGTAATTGTAATAGATTCCAAGATTATAAATGTTGAGTAGACAAAAGCCATTATTTTTGGTCCTGGCTCTGAACTCCATGACCTAACTAGTAACTTCATCCATCTCCCTGGCAACAGTCTGAGGTTAAGCCGGTCTGTACACAGCCTTTATCATGTTTTATTACAAACTGAGTTTCTGACCTCTTATTCATGCTGTCACTCAGACCACCTGTATGACTTCCATAATACCACCTACCTTCCCTGTGTCTAAGCTCATCTACAAGAGTTTAGGATTAGTCTGAGGAAACCCTCTCATAAATCTGTGACCATTCAAAATATCTTAACTTGCATGAACACATTCTATTTCTCTGATGTTTGTGTGCTCCCTGACTTTCATTGTTTCCTCGTTAAACAACGACTAGATGTTAAAATTCTCATCCTTTTTTTCCCAAATCACTCCATAACTTTGCTGCTCCCTATCTCGGTGATCTGTGACCATCTAATTCTCTTCTCTTGAATATCCCTGATTATAATTACACCATCATCAGTGGCCATGCCCTGTTGTTGCCCAGGCCCCAAGTGCTGGAATTCCCTTCCCGCACCTTTCTTTCTCTATGCTTTGCCTTCCTTTTCAAGACAGTCCTTTAAACCTTCCTCTTTGATAAGGATTTGGTCATCTGTCCTAATATCACCCAAACGTCTCGATGTCACACTTTGTTTTATAATGCTGTGTGAAGCACATTGGATCATATCATTATGTTAATGTTGCTATATAAGCTGTTATTGCCCTTCAGAGAAAAGAATAGCTGCATTCTCTTAGCTTCTAACCATTATTTATTCTGCAAACATAATCATTAAAGTTTACAAGATAACAAGGTGTAGAGCTGGATGAACACAGCAGGCC